CAAATGTAAAGATAATATCTCCTTATTGATAAATGAATTTAAACATTTATAGGAAAATATAATTTTAAATACTAAATGTGAAGCAACTTGAGGAAATCTTTCAGAGCTTAATATATATTTTAATAGCATTCTAATAATCTATAAATGTAAAATTAAATTATATCTTAATATTTTCAATTATTGAATACCTTCTAACATAAAATAGATAAACCTTAGCCAACAGACAATTTTAAGACACAAAGAATATTTACAGTATCCTCAACACATTATCTTGGTTTGATGTAAATATATATAAAAAGTTTTCAGCATTTCCTTCATTTTAAATTAATAACTTAACTATCTGTCCAAGTAAAAATAAATATTTTGTAGAGCATAAGGTGACTGATTAGGAAAAAACTTAGTGTTTACAATCAAATTCACTTTTCAACTTAAAAGAAAATGATACCTTCCAAATTAATTCATATATTATACTATATTAAGATATTTTTAGAATTAAATTCTAAATTTATAAATTAGTAAAATTTTGCTTGGCCCTGCAATAAAAGGCTATTTTAAACATTTTCATATATCTTCATTTTTTTTATGTTGAGTCTCCTATAACTTTATTATTATCTCATTTTTATTTTCATTTTATCAGCTATTTGTATATGTCTAAATTATGAACCCAAACTCTGCTTGACCAATACAATTTACATTGCAGAGTAATCCATACCTGATGAAGAATTCTGATCATTCTGTGTGCCCATAAAAGTGAATCTGCATAAATAATGTCTTCTGATTACAACATTTATGAGCTATTGGAACTGCTCTCTAAGGTAATTTTAGCTTTGAATAAATGATATATGTACAGCATGCAATTAGATTATTAGTGACTGTTTCTGGATTCAGTCATACTGAGCTACAAGAGCTATAATTATAGTGGCAAGCAGTACTTGCTGCCTCGAAATAAAATGGAAAGAGGATCTCAGTAACAGATGTGAAATCAAAAGCCATTATTGCCCACAAAGAAAGAGAACAAGTCTTTTCTTTTAGATTGGTACATTTTTACAAGTCTTCAAAAATTAACATATTTGTGAACTATAAAATTAACTTATATCAATTATTTTAACATAATAGTAATAAGAATAATGATTATTAAATTAGGATTAATTAATAAATTAATTAATAGCTGTATTTTATTTGAAAATGAAGAATGCTTTATTAGAATTTACATTGTTTTTGGAGTTTTATTTTCTTAGTAATATCTGTTCAAAGATTAATAATGTATAAAACTACTTTTAAAATATCTTTGGAGTCTTCAATATTAAATAAGTATAGATGAGAAAAGAAAATAGATTAATAAAACAAAAATTACTTGCAGTGAAATATGGAACTTATTTTTTTACTGAATTTATAGTATGTCATTAATACTATTTTTCTCTAAAAATACATTTAAAGAATCTAAGAGAAATGTAAAATTCTCTCTAGTTATGACTTAGTGGTTCTTATGCCAGCATACTACAAAATCTATGGCAAAATTTAAGATATTTTTCATTAAAAACTTTTCAATATCAAAGAAAATTATATCTATCTTCACCCTTACATAATATGCAAAGAACGTTTTATCATTGATATTACTTTAAAAAAAAATTTTGAAGATTGAAGGGAGGTAAATCAAATAGTTCACATTTCAGTATCAAGTCCTTACCCAAAAATTGATGAATTTTAATTTGTTTCAAGTAGCTTCAAGAAGAATGAGTTAACTCCTAGGATTAGGAGAGTCTATTAAAATCACTATTCACAGTCAAACAAGAAAGCACTTACTAAAGTATGTAGTCATTATGTATTACAATTTAACCTGATTTTCTTCTTTCCAAGTAGTTTTATTTTAAAAAGTTCACAGAATTAATTAATAATTTTAATGAATGTTTCATTTTTCTTTTATAGGACAATTTGGAGGTTACCATAAATTCCAATGATACTGCCGAAAGATTATGTCTTTCTTTATCATGGTTGTTGAAAGAAATAGATGAAGATGGTTCCATTGTTCCTTCTTTTTTGTCAAAAGGAATCCTCTACTTGATAAGTGCTCATTTTTATTGTCAATTTTAAAAGTGGTGCTTTTTAATTATTATTTATATTCTAATTATTTCTTTAATATTCCTATATGACAATCATTCATACACTATAGCTACTCTTGCACACTAAGATCAATAGTTGCTGGCATAGATATGTTTGTTAAAGCCAATAAATAAAATATGCCTGTTATTATAGATGGATATTATCAGACTGATATATTTTATTGATATTTACTAAACTTAGTATAACACAAGACAAGTCTTGAGGAAAACAGGCAAAAAGATTGTATTACACTAATCACTCAAGGAAAGATGGTCTGCCTACCTTGAAGATCTATATTTGAGATAATTTTTAATAGCTCCAACTACTTTTACAGGTTAGAAATAGGCAATGATATAACCCACCAAACAAATCTAGGTAATATATTATTCAAAATTCTACAGTTTTTTTCCCAATAGTTGTATACTTCTGCTAACTTCTGTTACCTGAAATATAGACATCAAGGATTTAAAGTAACTGTCAAAAATTATGATCAAGAAAAAATTAAAAAAAATAAAATAAAAACATTTGTTCAAGTTGTAATATTTCTCTTTAATTTTTATGGGTAAATAATTTATTTTCTTTTTTTTATTTTTTACTTTTCAGAATTTCTCCAGCTGTTTTTTTCACAACTTTCTTCTACTTGTGAATTTAGTCCCCATATCTTTACTTCATTTGAAGATATATTGGAAATTTTAAATGTAAGTTAAAAATTAATTTTACTCTAGAACTTCTGAATTAAAAGTAAAATGAAAGATAATTTTAACAAAATCAACACAAGAATTTAGTATAATGTCCATGAGTTTGTTGGTTTTTCTTGCAAGTTTGTTTATTTTTCATCAAACTGAGACATGGATTGATGATTTGTTTTGTTGTTTTTTGTGTTTTTTTTAAAGAATTTGTAAGTTGAGCCACAAGTTGTACTCTAAATAGAACAACAAATATAATTTAATAATATTACATGTATGCATATAAATTGTTTATATGCAGTAACAAAAAACTGATCTCTTAGTAATTTTTCTGATTGTTAGTGATAAAATATATATTTGAAAATAGTATAAATTTAAATAGAAAGAAATTAATATAAGTATTAATTAACAATTTTGGATTTATTGAACACCATTTTACTTAATGGATCATGGAAATTTCCTCAATACACTTAATAGATTTCTTCCTTATTTTCTTATTGTTTTACTTTAAGTATATGATTTAGTCAAATTTTAGTATTATCAAATATACATTTTGCTAAATTGTCATGTTATTGAATAATTTAATTAAACCTAATTAACTACTTATGTACATTGAACACTCTATTCAGCTATATTGATGACCAAAATAAACTTAAAATACTTCAGTTAATCTAGATATCTTCTATATTTAACTGATGAGGATATTGTCATGTAAGCTAAAGTTCTTTATATAACCAGTATTTTATTTTTTCATCATGTTTTATATTTTGGTTTTATTGTTTGATAGTTTAATTCTACCATTCAACTATTACTAACTGGCACATACTAACATAAGAATCATGAGGAAACCTTAAATTTTGCGTGTATACAATATGATTAACTACTTGCTTTTTCTCTTTCTCTCTCTCTCTCTTGATTTTAGTTGAAGTTGCTTTCTATTTTGTTGAAACTAGGGGAGTCAAGTTTTCACCAGTTGTGGTGTATTGTTACCCTGCTGTTACAATCTTCACTGTCACTATGTCTCACAAGGGGAGGGAGTTGTCAGCCATTGTATGGCACTAGTGAGTGGATGCTTTACATTGTATCATCTACACCACTAATCATAAGTCTCCATCCCCAAAGGGTTAATTCATTGCTCTACTACCATGCAAACTTTTAATACCCATTTGCAACCTAAATTTCCAGTTCACTGAGCAAATTGCAAAGACTTTATCTTGATACTAGTTTCTTTTGGATTTACTGCATCTTGGATGACCTGATCTTAGCATCACAGTGCCTCAGATCATTGTCTTTCATTTTACACATTAATTTATTATTGTGTATGATATGACAAACTTAGCAGTTTTGTTGTTGGGGAAAGAAAGCAAATATAAAAAAAAGGAAGCTAAAAGAAAAATATTTGATAAAAAATATCATTTTTTGTTATATAGCAAAGAAAGACTGTACTTTACAAACTTGAGGCCAAATATGTATTTAGTCATGTAGCTACATTGTCATAAAGCTGGATTAAGAATAATTTCTCTGAGCAATTTTTAATTTATAATAAATATTTATTGAAGTACTTTTTTTTTAATACATTTATTTCTTCTGATTTAAAAAAAAAAAAATTCTTAATGAGGAAAAAAATTAAATTGTGCATCCTTCTATTATTTATGTTAAAAATTTCAAATTCATATTGTAATTATGGTCTTTTAACCTGAGAAAATCACAAAAGACTAATTGTTTTGTCATATTTTATAATGAAAAGAAGCTTGAAATATTTTCTTCTGCATATTGCTTGTTTCTGATGTAAATAACCGAAATAAAATCTTTAGTCAATCCATCATTCTAGTGATAATGTTGACAACTTTTACTCACTTGACAGTTGCAACCTTTTCATTTTGCTCCTTTTAAGTTCTTTTTTATATTTAAATTTGTTTATTATGCAGAAAATGCTATCCTTATAGTTTCTTGTTTGCTATGCATAAACCTAAAACAAGTTAGCATTTTAGAAGAAAATTCCTAATATTTTCACATTAGAATTTTTTTTCTAAGAATTCTTTTTTTTAAACAGTATTTGTAGAAGAAATGATAAATTTGATTTACTATGAGAGAGCTTTATTTTCTCAATTGTCAGTATTTCAATCATTTTACCTTTATTTTATTAATCATTGTTAGACTGAAGATTAGTAAAAAAAAAAAAAAATTAAAACACATAAGGTTTTCTGCATGTGTATATATATATTTCAGGTATGAATAGTTTTAAAAAAGGACCCTAGAAATAGAAATTCTTTAAATTAGTCTTTCTTATTTACAAACAAGAAAATGAATATGTGAATTCAGTTAGTGTAGGTATTATCTAAAAATTTGTGATGTAGTACATTCAACTATTATCCAGATCAGTGAACTTAAAATTTAAACAATGGATGTTAGTATTTTTCATTTTTAAAATCAGCATTATTGCACTTGTGCATTATGATAAGATATAAAGCAACTCAAAAGCAAATGTATCCACTGAGCTGACTGTCTCTGTCAGTTACCAAAATATTTAAAATTCATGTACTCAAATTAAAGATCTTATTTTTCTTGGATTTTTTAAACAATTTTGTAAGTGCTCCAAGAATCTGAAACCTTTTTATTGCTAATAATATTGTACAGTATATGGGTATTATTGACAAGTAATTGACATTTATGATCATGTATACTATTTTCCTAAAATGGCTATCAAATAATACTAGGATTTATGAGTGCTGTCTTTTTTAATTTGATAAACTTCTACAATTATTTCCTGATCATTCACATGATTTCTCAAGTATAGATCTCTAGCAAATTCCTTTAATATTATTAACACAAAGCTGAGTTTTTGAAAAAGAGCTTTTTTATCTAAACTATTAATGAAACTTACCAAGTTCTTAGTTTGAGACTTTAGTTTATTAATCTCTTTGTCCTTTAAACTAAAATTGAAGTAAAGTTTATATCTCTGATACTGAAATTAATTTGGGTTAACTTTTATGAACATGGAATTGAAGAAAATTTGAAAAGTGTATGAACAAGCATAGAAATATGAATATTTCTTGTTACTTAACACTAAATATATTAAGCAAAATTAATATGGTGACATGAAAAAGCAAATGCTCAATGAATCATTGAAAAATTTATTTACAGTTGTGATGTGTAGTAGTAGTATTAGTAGTAAGTTGTTGACAATCTCTATTGACAAATTCTGTTTCTCTCATGACTGCTCAGGTTTATATATAGTGTCTCTCATCTATAGGCAAATAATCACACTCTTACATTTACATATCATTACATCTACCTGAAACAGATTATATGCACTTGGTCAATAATTTGCTTCTTCTATACTCTGTTCCATTTTAGGATTTCCTTGCTCTACTTCTCCCTCTTCTTCCATAGTTTTTATTATAATTCTATTTATAGGAAACCTTGATCTGACTTGTAAACTTTTATCTTAGTGGTTATCTTCCTTCAATTGATCTTTGCCAGATCTTTTTATAATTGCTTGGGAGATATAGATTTTTGTGTCCCTCATTTACATCTGTTTCCATTTATATAAGCATATCCTTATCATTTTCATTATGATCATCTTTCTTTGTTATTTGTTCATCCATTTCTACATCTTCATCTTGGGATCTTATTTTATTTGCATTTTACATACACATTTTTTTTTTCTTAAGATCTTTTCCATTTCTGGCACCTATACAAATGTCATCTTAATAGCACACAATATTTTCTATGTCATCTCCTATGACTCTTTCTATGGTTCTTTGAAAAATAGCACTAATTGTTTTTATTTCACACAGCATTCTTGTCCATCTCAATAAATCAATTGGGGTGTTGTCATCACTTTTTGAAATGGTCACCTCTGTGTATCTGGTGATAAGCTGTTTTCAAGTCTATCTTCATAAAGATTTCTCTTACTGTTAACAAATGTAATGCTACTTCAACATTTGGAATTGAGCACAAATCTCAGTAAATTTTGTTTTACTCCCACTTTATAATCACCAAATATTCGAAAGTCTCTATCTTCCTTTCTCAAAACTACAATAGGCGATACCCATTTGCTGCCACCAAGTGGAATATATTCAAGAAGGCTTTGTTCCACTAATTTTCTTAGCTTCACTCTTACCAACTGTACTAGCAATTTTGTTACTTCATAGTAGGAGGAGACATTCATTTAACTTGAGACTTGCCTTATAGTTTTTTAGCATGCCAGTTTATTCAGTATTCACAGTATTAATTAATTTTGTGGAAATAAATTTGAGTACATCATTTCAAACAATTCCATGATGCTTATTACAGTTCATATCAATTATGGGTATTATTTCAAGTCTTTTGTGTTGAGCAAGGGATCCTTCAAAGCACCCTAGCATTTGTATAACTAAACCATCAAATTGTCAAAGCTGTAGATAAGTCTTTTGTAATTTTGGCTTTCCTAGTTGGTGGGAATTGAAGTTGAGGGCATTGTCTGGTAAAGGTTGACTTGTGATATATGAATGTTTTGAACCCATTCTCTGTGTGAGTTATTATTACATCCAGGAAGGCTACGTGATTATTATTTTCTTCTTCAATTGTGAACTAGATCAAAAGTCATTGATTTCACATGGTCCAGCAGTATTTGTAAAACTTGCTGGTGTGGCCAGAGTATAAAGATATCATTTACATATCTAAGCCATACTGTTGGCTTTAGAGGTGCTGTTTCTTAAACCATTTCCTCAAAGTATACCATGTATATGTTCACCATTCAAAAGATCTGCAGTCCATACATCAGGACAATATTCAGAATGAGTTCCATTCTACAGAGAAATCTCTGCTGAGTAAAGCCTAATACTGGCAAGAACATTAACAAGATTGATGTGTACTCGATTATTTGCGGTCGTGGCAGAGAATATAAAGGTGAAACAAGCCGTCTCCACTAAAAATAAGGATGGAGGAACATCAAAAAGCCATAATGAGGGTTGAGATAATGGTATTGGGCATGGTTGATGATCTATGGAGGGAAAGGGTAGTCATCATCCCCCGTGGAATGAAGTGAAAATACTGGACAAGGAAGAACGCTGGAGAGTTAGAAATCTGAAAGAATCGGCATATATGCTAGTCTATAAGGACATCATTAGTAGGCCTAGCATAAAAATAAATACAATATGAGAGCCACTAATAAAGAAAGAATGACAAATGACAGTAACATTTCAACTGCAGCAACAGCAGCAATTGCAACTTAATCAGCAGGCAGTTTGATTTTAAAGCTCCAAGATCACTAAAGCAAATTGTCCTAAGGGATAAAAAATTTATCTTAGGGGATAAAAGTGTTGGTTTGTGAATATGGGAACATAGTAACTGTGAGTTCAATCCCTGGGTAGGGCAGTGTATACTTGCACTCAGTAGAAATAAGCACGCAATAACTGAACAGTACTAAATAAAAATAAGAACTAAACAATAGAATTAGACATGAGCAGTGGAACAAGAACAATCCCCCATAGATTAAATAAAGGGTTCAAAATTCCCTGTAGATTACCCAAATCAATATACACCTGAGGAAATCTGGAGGGGACAACAGCCAAATTGTTGGGATAACAACAAAGATGAGGACAATAGTGTAAATAATAACCAGGTTGAGTTTTACAAAATTGAAATTGTTTTTTAAGACTGTCCAATTTTCACTTTGTTTTGATTTTGAACAAGAAATAGTTCAACTCCCGGCACTTCTCTTAACCCTGAACATCATCCTGATGATTGGCCACTGAAACAGACATTTCACCCAGCTTTGGTATATCTGTAAAATATACTGAACAAAATCTAATCCTCTATATTCCTTTTTCTCACAACTATACACTTATTATAACAATGCTGTGGGGTGTGTTGCTGATCTACCTAAACATGTTGTTGACCAGTGACCACTGCAATGCACTACAATTTGCACCCATTCATGGACTTCATGTACCCCAACAATGATGGTTTATTACAGCAATTATTAGTTACCCACATTTCCCAGAATTGGTTTGCAGAACATTCTAGAAACTTCTAAAGAAAGGTGAAGCTAACACCCAACATGAGCCCAATTTATTAGACTATTCACATGCAAGATCCTGCACCTACAATTATAAAAGAGTTGTGAACAGCTACTGGGATGGCATGGCACAAGATTTCTGCAGATATCCTCAGACATTTGGGGAATAAATGTCACATCAACTTGCTGCACTTTGAGGAAGGTTTTGAATAAAACTAAGCAGTTTCTCCTGACTTTTGTATGTGTGTGTGTCTTCCATATATAAGAGTGCACTAATTTAAATAATTTTTAATACATAAAAATAAAATTTTATTTTCTTTGCCTGTTAACAGGGAAGTTTCATGCATAGGGATTTTTCAAAATAGGTGTTTCTTTATTATAAACACTCCTGAGAATTATTGTTCCCTTCATGTTTTTCAAATACATTTTGATATCATCAAAATATATTTGGGAACTAAAAAAGGAAACAGAAAACACTGTTAGTAGGATGATATATAAAAAAATAAAGAATAACAGACAGAAATTGCAATTTATGCATGGAGGAGAAGCTATAAATTACAGAATTTAAGAACTCAAATATTTTAATAGACAAAAGGAAGAGTAGAGTTGATATGGCCTCCACTTGATGTGTGTGTTGGGTTGGTTGACCAAGGTCATGGTGGTAACATTGAGAGATGCCCGTAGCAAAAACTGTTTACTGCAAGTCATTTATGTGTAGCGTTCTTAGAAGCAAATGTGATGGTTCATAAACTCATTTTTTTCCTGTTTTTCTTTAATGACAACATTCATGATTATCTACTTTTATGTTGTATTTTATATTTTTTGAGGGGATTTATTGCATGGGCCGGATGTGATGCTCAGTGCCCCTACACAGACGATGACTTTTTATTTTCATTTTGCTTTCTTAGTATTCACATCCAGCCAACAATAGAGTGAATCGGAAAGAGATTCAATTTGAAGCAAAATATCACACACACACACACACACACACACACACACATATATATATATATATAATTTCCTTCACCATAATAATGATGGTAATATTTTTTATTTAATTTCAGAGTATTGCTGATACAGGAATTCAAAGTAAGTTTTCTTAAGTGCTTTTTTTAATCAAATTGATTCTTTTGAAATTATACTTAAATTAGAAAAATAACAGGAAAACAAGAGTATATGATACTGAAGTAATTTAATATTTAACATTTTCTGTTTAATGCTATTTTGTTTTCTGTATTTAAAAATGTTTAAAACAATTATTTAATACAACTAGAATTCATCCCCTCTCTGTTTTTCTATTAGAAAAACATTCAATTTATACAAAACTGTTCCTCATTTGAAAAATGACTATCTCAATTTGTGTATGAAATTCAGCCACAGTTTCTTTCATGTTGACAGTTATAGAATACAGTTTACTTCATTCCTGGTTTCATTCTCTCATTGGAGACTTAGTTAAAAATTTATTTGCTTAAGACAAGAATCAATCAGTTAACATCAAAAAATAATTACATCATCTTAAGATTCCAGGCTGCTCTCTTAAATCTTAAGAATTCATTTCAAGGTACTAAGATATTATATGCTCTCATGGTGGAGCTTAGCACTATAGAATTTCAGGCATTGACACAACACTACTTATACCTCCAAGATGTGTTAGATTTCACATAAATTTCAATAACATTAGAAAAATATCTTAGCCTAATGCAAAATTAGTTTTGTATATTGGTATTTTATTAGTAGCAATGATCCTTACCTGACTTGGTACTTGGATCAGAATTTTGCTACTTATTGCTAACAGTTTCATGCTCTAATACCCATGCTAATCTTGTATATATTATGAAACCAAAGTTAAATATGGACATTTTAAACATTCAACTAAGGAAATAAACATGTGAAACTTACCAAAAGAAATTATCACTGAAATCATCTAAAATAACTTGTGATTTTAGTCATTTTAATGCACTATGAAATTGGGTAATGTATCTGACATTCAAATGGATGCAGGCAAGCATTATATTCACAAATTATTGTACAGCATATTTATTTATAAATAGACTCATTTTTACTCTTTCCTTAAAATTTAAAAAATTACCATATATACTCACATATCATGCAACTTTTGAAAACCTAATTTTGGAGCTAATTTTAAAGGGGTTGCATCATACATAAGATATAAAATTTGCATATGTACTGCTGGCCCTGTCTATGCTGTTGACCAAACTATATAACCATTTACTGTAGTCAAATTAGCTTCAAAATTAGGTCTTCAAAAGTCGCATGATACATTAGTATGTACAGTATAGACAATAACTAAGCTACTACACTTATGTAAGTTAAAAGGTTGCATGTTTGTGTGTATTTTAGTTATGCGTGTTCACAAATGATAAACAAAGAAGAAGCATACAAGACCTTGCATTTCTACTAAGAACCATTTATTCTTTTTATGGTAACTAGTGAAACAAAGTTCTCAATATCGTTTGGGCATGTCGGTTTTCTTTTTTGCTTAAGAAGTTAGGATAAGTAGGGATAAAAATGGTTAAAATGGTCGAGCTCAAGTCAGTTTTGCACTGAGTTGAAACAACCAAATTACTTCATGAGTAGGGCTGCAAGGCATGTCTGAATACTGTTGTTGGAAAGTGGAAAGAGAGAGGCAGTGATCAGTTGACTGGGGAAACTGATGTGTCTCAGTGGGCTTATCCATTTTCCACATACTGCTACATCTTGGAGAAAGGGTGAAGCAGGAAATGTCAATCTTTTTATAGACTTCAGCAGTGCCACCTAAGGCTGTTTGATGAAGCCAAATGGGGTAATCGTATTTCCAATCCCTTTACTCTTAGCATCATGGAAAAATGTATTTCTTTTTCTTTCTTTTTTGTATTAGTCATTACTATAATTTTATTTATCAATTTTATTTCATTTTCCCACAGATTCTTTATCTACACAAACTGTTTATCATTTCAAAAGATTTTATATGCACTTACTCTATAATGATATGAATGTCAACAAAATTTCTCTTTAACTGTGCTTCTTCATAAATAAACATTTTTGTCTTGGTCTTATTTTTTTTTTTATTTACAGCAAAATGTACAGTTGTTCTCCAATTTGGTGAAGATCTGATTTGTTATATTAATAACCATTTGCTACCATTTCACTTTCGTTTAAAGGTCTGTATCCACTTATGTCACATTTTCTTTTTAAGCAGGTTATAATTTCTTCAATAAATAGATATATTTACATAGAAAATGAATACCTTAATAATCAAAAGGATTAGATTCTTCTAAAGATTGTATTCACTTTTGACTTTAATAATGTTTATATAGTTTTTAATGATTTAATTTTTTCTTTTGTAGTAATTAATCCATAGAATTAATTGATTAATAATTGATAGCCATACCAACATTTTCCAATTAATCAATAATCAATGTTTTTTTTTCATCTTACCAATTAATCATTTTTTTACCCAGTCATCCTTGTTTAGTGTATCACAGAAATTTCATCCCTGACTTAAGAATCATCTCTTATCTTAAACATAGAATGAATTTAAATCATATTCTGATAGTTTTTCATTTATTTCTTTTCTTTGTCAATCATTACTGAAAGCAATTAAATTACTGATTATCAAACAATCAATGCAACCCTAATCCATAAATTTGATGTTGGTAAATGTTATGATGTTAATTTGGGGTTAATAAAGACAAACGCCAAATAACATGTAACAATAAAATGGGGTTTATTCGGTTGGTAAGTTGGTACAGATATCGCCTGAGTAGTCTATAACTAACTCAGCCCAGAACTTCTCCGACACTGTCTTTTGACATGCCACTATTTAACATCCTGGTTTGTAGATGAGTTCATCTTCAAGAGGGGTGGTAGGTTCCTACACAACACCTCCTCCTTGAGATTAATTCCGGAGGAATTAATATTTTTTTCTTTTGGGATCTGGACTTAAACGTTCTACCCTCGTTCTTTTTCTTTTGCTTGTCCTTCTTTGAACAACTGTTTCAGGCAATGGTGGAGTCAGTATATCAAATAAATCATAATACCTCCATTGGTTCTTCCTTTTCTTCACTTATTTCTTTGATGATTCTTTTCCTTAATTGGTTCAAATATCTTTTGTGCGTCCATTTTTGACTTGGAGATAGGCATCCGATAAATCCAATTTAGTGAATATTTTTCCTCCACTTAAACTTGCAAAAATGTCTTCTGGTGAAAGGCAAAGGATATGTGTGGTCTTTTAAGCAATCATTTAGACCCGTAGAAAAATCGGCACACATCCGAATTTTATTATTTTTTTTCTTAACATATACAACAGGGCAGGCCCACTCTGAAAATTCCATGCGTGAAATAACTCCTAAATTTTCAAGCCGTTCCCATTCTTTGTTAATCTGTTCCACAACACCAAATGGCACATTTCTTTTTCACTTGAAAATAGGTTTTACATTTTCCTTCACTTCAAATTCTGCCTTCGCCTTTTTGCAACATCCCAGACCTTCTGAAAATACTTGTGGAAATTTTATTCTCAGATCTTTCAAATTTTCTGTAACCCAATTTTTACACGGAGAAGAAACATTAATTCTATTGCAAAAAGAATTTATAGGGAGTTTCCATAAATTAAAAAGTATAATCCAATCTGTTCCAAACAAATTTAAAACATTTTGTAGCACATACACTTTAGACTTTAGTGTCTTACCAACAAATGAAATATTACAAGAAAATTCACCTTGAAAATGCAATTTTTCTTCCAGAAATCCCATGAGCCACTTTTTTCAGTCTTTTTAAGCAAAGGTCTGCCTATTTTTTAATCCATGTTGCTGTATTAATAATGGAAATATCACTTCCAGTATCTAGATGTAGTTTAACATTTTTTCCATTAATTTTACTTGTACGAATTTTCTTTCTGCCCCTCCTCAATCTCCTGACGTGACAAATACAATATTCACAATATCTTTTTCCGACTTAATTTTTTTTTTTTGCTTTTACAATGAGTACTTATATGGCCTTTATTGCCACACGAATAGCAATTTTTTGTCGCGAAAAAAAGCATTCACTTTTTAAATGACCACCACCGCATCCAAAGCACGTTGGTTTTTTAACGTTTTTATTAACTATTCCCGTTTTTGGTCGAATAGCATGGACACGGGATATGTCTTTTTCTTCAATTTGCATATTGTCATGTTTTAAGTTTTCAATTCTTTGACACTCTTCCGTAACCTTCTGCAAAGTAATCTCAGAATTTTGTTCGAGTTTTGCCAATATTCGGGACCTTATGTCCTTATCTTTGCTAGAAGTCAAGCCTTGAATGAATATCAAACATTTAAATCGATCAATTGAAAGATCATGTAACAAAAAATATTCACACATTCTGTTAACATTTCCAGCATACGTAACAATATCCTCATCGTCACGCTTTACCATATTCAAACACGAGAAACGAGTATGAAACAAACTAACTCGCTTCAAAAAAATACTAGATAAAGTATTAACAGTTTCTTCGAAAGAAATGTCACTAGTTTTTTCTTGGAAGGACAAAATTCGTATACTTATTATTTTCATCTGTACCCAACTTTTGTAAAAAGTAAACTCACTTTTGTTCATCAGTCCAACCTTCACATTTTTTTTTTTTTTTTTTCAAATATTGTTTCAAATCTTCTGAAATACGAGGAAATGTTATACCCTCCTCTGTGTTAAATTTGAACTCGGTAATAGAATTAGCAATACCTTCGTCCGTGAATGACGAATTTACTGGATTCTTAGTAACATTGCTTCAAATAAAAGCCTTTTGTGTCATTTCCGCTGCTGAACTTGTAAATCCAATAGTTGTTCCCAAAACAATTTTGTTGCTCTTGTTGCTGAATTTGGTTTTTTGCACTAGAGTTTTCGTTAATGCAATCAAATCTTCCATTATGCGTAATAGATTACAGTTACACAAAACACTTTTCGAAAACTTTGATATATACGTTTTTCCTTTTGTCAAAAAAGGAAAAACACGTATATCCAACAATAAGCACAAGTCTTACTTCTTTTTGGCACGTTGAAATCCTATTTTTCTTGAAGAACAAAGTTCGATCGTATTGTTTTTTTTTTTCTTTTTCAGTGCGAAAAAAAAAATTATATAGTCCGCCTAGAGTTGAAAAATTCTCCACTCCAGCGTGATGAATGAATCTCTCGTCGCCACTGTTATGATGTTAATTTGGGGTTAATAAAGACAAACGCCAAATAACATGTAACAATAAAATGGGGTTTATTCGGTTGGTAAGTTGGTACAGATATCGCCTGAGTAGTCTATAACTAACTCAGCCCAGAACTTGACATGCCACTATTTAACGTCCTTGTTTGTAGACGAGTTCATCTTCAAGAGGGGTGGTAGGTTCCTACACAACAGTAAACAATCTATTTGAATACTCAGTTTCAGCTCTATATAAATGAAACTTTCTTTCTGAAATTGTTCATAAAATTTTATATAAAGATTTTAATCAGAAATGTATTTCTTTTATGAATAAGGTATATATTTTAGGATATGAATAAAATAGAATTGCTAATATGAAATTCTAATACTTTTTCTTTACCTTTTTGAGAAAGAAAAACAAAACTTAATTTGCATTTTAGTTTGCAACAAGTAAAAAAACATAAAAAGATACTCATTTTATTAATAATACATGATTTATTTTACTTATTTTTATTATATTCGTCTGTTCTTTTCACTTTCAATGAACTGCTATGTTAAATGTAGTTGAAATAGTCAAATCAGTCAGCAGAGTTTAATGATGATTTAGAACAACCTTGGAACATAAAAAATCTTGTTGGTGTTATGAATGTTAAGACCTTTACAATCCCAGAGGAGAATAACTCTTCCTAAATGTTGAAATCATTTTCCTAATAAATTTACCAATCTTTATTTAGAAATTTAAATAGGATTTTAGATAAAAAGTATTTTCATATTCATATATATATATATATATATATATATATATGAATCTTCCTTAAATTAAATTCCCGATCTGATCTGATAGGTAAAAAATTTTCAACGTTATCACTTTAAATCAAATGAAACAACAGCTTGGCTTCTTGAAGAAACATTTGAGATATTCCACTATTCCGCATCTCTTGCAGGTCCTCTAATGCCCAGTAAGATGAGTAGGTTTTCCCCACAGTGGCTACAGCAGGGTGGGGGGTGTCAACTGGGAGAGGGAGAGAAGTTCAGTTTTACAGTGCCTCCACCTCTTTTCTGTTCTTGTTCTGCTATTTGATTTTGAAAAGGAGGGTGCCTGGTAAGCCTTATGTTGCCATGTCTCCCTATCAGCACTCTCTGTTGTCCCCAAGTGGGAGTTGGCTGAGCTATTTAAGGAATTCTTGTATCTTTTCTATGGCAACTCCTACTCCACCAGCTAGAGACTAATTTACTAATTTGAAAATATATTTCCATTGTCATTACATGACCTACTCACTGCAGGTGAGTGTTTTGCAGCAAAAATTCAATGTTTCTGTGCCTTGCTGATTTGATGATTTCAGAATTAATGGCAAAGTTATTTCAGTATACTTTGAGAATGATATGAGAGCAACACTGATAGAAGCGTTTAAAGAGACATAGAACATGCTGGTATATAGCATAGGATTCAGCTGTATATAGAAAGGTGTATGGCATGATAGCTTTGTAAACTTGCTGTCTTTCCCAAGATTCTTGTTTCTTCAGATACATTTGTGCAGTCTCTAAAAAGGCAGTCTGTTGTCTCTCTCTATCTTGCCTGGCATCAAAGGATATGATACAAACTAGGTAGGTAAAGACCTAAACTGCTTTCAGTTGTGTTGGAATTTATAAAAATTTTAAATTTCCTACCAAATCCAAGTCCTTGTGCCAGACACAAAACTTAGTTGGTAGAAACAGCAAGTCATGATATTCGGTGTGAAATTATGAAACAAAATGACCACTGCATCAAATTTTAAAAAGGAAAAACGAATTCATTTTACAATATTACAAAAAAGGTAGAAATACAAAAGTTGCTCAAAAATTTCCTCTTGTGCACTTATTACAGCAGGATAACAGTTTTCTGAGGTTACAAAAAGGGAATTACCCTCAGCTATAAGGAAAAAAGAATGATAAACTTTTTAAGAAAAGACACGGATTCAAAAACAAAAAGACTACAGCACCCTTTAAAAATGGAAAAAAAGGGAAAAACTTTGTAGAAGTAAAAGAAACAGATTGCACAAAGCAGAAAATACAAAACACATCCGCCTCCCTTCTTAACAGAATACTCAACTGGGACATCTCAGTTTGAAGGGGTTTTGTGTTTTCAAATTGTTTTCTTGAGGGCTTTTTGAAGTATTTTGCTGCAAAGTTATCTATAGACTTCTTTCAGTTTAAATTCTTCTCAGGAAGGTACAGAAAGGAATTTCAGTTCTGGGGTAGAATCTGCCTTGAATCTGTCTGCACTTTCTTTCTCCATGTTGATTTATGACCCCATTCCCCTAATGCTTTTTTCCTCAACAGTTAATTGTTTTCTTGTCAACAGTTCATTCTTTCTCTCTACTTATCTGCTCATAGCAGTCCGTTTTATTGAAAAAGTACAATCAGTCATATCGGCTCACTTCAAGTTTTCACAAGGGCTTCAAGAGATTGTCCCTCATTGACCATAATATATGAATCTTTTCTCCAAGAATTTGCAAAATGAATCCACAGCAAGTCAACAAATAATTTTGACAGTCAACCACTTGAGCCAAAACAGCCATAAAAAATGTAACAATTTTTACACAAGCTGTCTAGCCTTCAGAAATATACACTTCTCTCAAAAAAAGTGTATTAAAAAACAACCTAGGTGGTTATACATTTACAATTTTATCATTTTAAAAATAATAAAAATGATTTTTATAAATTATGTAGGCAGAAGGCAGGTGATACTCCTCGTTAGTTGCAAATTTCTTCAGGCTGACTTCTATCACAAAGATTTTCATGACTTTTTGCAAAGCAGGAACTTACTGAAAGGCCATCTCTGAGTGAGCAACTAGAGTCACATCTGCAAACAGAAGTCCTCTGACAAGCTACATCAAGTATTTTGGTGTAAGCATAGTCACTTCAGGTTGAAGTTACCATTTTTATGTATGCAGATGTACACCATGTCAATGTCAACTATCTCTTCTGTAGATATCATACTACTGAAAACTGGTCAGCACACAATTTTGCATTACACTGTTGGCAACTGGGAACAATTTGGGGAAGATATTGTCCAGGTTATGCCTCATGGTCAGAAATTATGGTGTGTGACCAAACTTTTTCAAAATTATCCAAAGGCCTAACCTACTAACAGTTTCAAATGCCTTTGTCAGGTCAGCAAAGTGATACAACTTTTTGTTTTAATTACAGCATTTTTCTTAGCTTTGTTTTAAGGCAAAATCTATATTGATTGTGGCGTAGTTAGCTATAAATTCACATTGGCTCTCAGAAAGGTGCTTAGTAGCCTAAATTACTAGTCTAAGACAAGACATATGCAAACAGTATTTTTTGTTTTGCTGCAGTACATAAATCAGAATTGTTATCAGTCTAGTTTTGTTTATACTTCCATAAATTTCTGAAAAAATTACTTTCTTATTTTTTGATCATTTCTTTCATTGCAAATTTTTTTTTATGTTATAAAATTATCTGAATACTAGTTAAAAATATTTATCTGTATACACAGTGCTATTTGGTAAAGAACCTAAAAATATATTATTATATTAATATTATAAATTATATTACTTTTAATTTTATTTTTATTATAATATTCCATTCCCTTTTGATTATTTCTCTCTGCCAGATTGTCAAGTACACTAACTTATTGTTTGAAAGATGTCCTACATATGTGAAAGATTGTTTATATGCAAAGACATCATATAAAAAAAACTTGTGAGTATCTACATTACATCAGTTCTTTTAAGAGAAGAAACCCTGAAATTTCTGAGATTACTGCTACTGTAAACTTTTTTAGTAACTGTGCTGCCTAAAAAGAAAAAATTAATCCCTATGTATAAATTTTTGCATTACAGAAAAAATGCTCTGAAATTAATTTCTTCAATTGGAGGTAAGAATTTTATCATGAAAACTATATTTGTGTGTGAAATTACACTGATTCTTTGTTTTGAATCCAAATGATATAAAAACTGTACTAAATTTAAATATTGAACATTACATTATGATTTTTTTAATCTTTTCTTCTCGAGCAACACAAGCCACTAAGGCAAAGTGGTTATTGAGTGTTAGAGAATATGAGAAAAAACCACTATTAAGGAGAGAAAACAATAAAAGAACAAGAATTAAGAAGACAGGATAACAATTGAGATTGCATTTAAATTTTTGAAGAAAAATGTTGACTAGGAAGCAAGAAGCTGCAAGGAAGAGTTCCACAAACATGAAGTTACATCTAGCCATTTCAACTCTAAAATGGTGAGACCTTGCCACTAATCTAGTACTGTACTTAAATTCATAAAGTCTAGGTACCATAGAGGAAAGTTCATCAGACAATTACCATGAAAGTATTGATAGAAAAGACACAGAAAAGCTACATTATGGTGGTGGAAAAATGACTGAAGCTGAGATGCCTAGTGAGGACCAATAACATTGCAAATTCTTTGGAATTTATCAAGCATCTCTAAATATATACCAAGAATACCAGACCAGATGTGGCTTCAGTATTCAAAGCAGGTATGAATAGTAGGTCCTTTAAGATATAAGATAGATTCTGGCTTTCCTAGCAGCACACCTAGCAATTGATTCAACATAATCTTTCTACTTCATGTCAGTGGAAAATGTTAGTTCAAGAAAGCACAATGAGTCACTCTCCTGACCATGTTAATGGAAGTTAAAAAGGGTTCTCTCAAATGATTAAAAGAAAGCAGTTTCATTTTGGAAGTATTAAAATTAAAAAGCTATTCCTTGCCCTAATTAACAACAGATTGTAGATCATTTTTTTAGATCAGCTGACAATTTGAGAGCTAATATACAGCACTGTTGATTCATTGTTTTTTTTTTTTTTTTTTTAACTTTTCAGCATCAGTTCTGTGTGTAATATATATAAATGGATAGGATAAAAAATTTACATACATGCACAAATACGTGTATGTGTGTGAGTGTATTTATTCCTAAGGTGTTATAAAAACAGTGCTCAATGTTATGAAACAGCTAATAAGTATACACTATATACATATTATATATATATATAAAATGTGTGTGTGTTTGTATGTATATT